CTTGGGAGAGCTGGAAGTCTGGGGTTGCATCATCTTGCTTCCACGACTTCTCATTTTTTCTTTTCTTTTTAGTTTAATTCATTCATTGAGGCTTATAAATTGTCTATGGTAGTTATCTTTATTGATTTTATCAAGAACCCTTAGGAAATGACTACATTGCACAAAAGGCTTCCAGGTTTATCTGACTTTTTGGGTTTTGAGTCTGTTGCAACAGCTTACCTCTTCAATTTATTGGGAATGAGAAGTTACTGCATATTTGGCTAAGCCACTGGTTCACTGGCACTAACCTATACTACTGTTTATGATCTTCAGACAATTTCAGACTTGGAATACAAGGAAGAACAACTAATTAAAACAATTATGTCACTTTAGCTAAAGTAGTACAATCAGCAATAACAACAGCATCAAACACACCCTAGAAAATGAAAAACCATGATAACTCTTAATTTACCACCTTTAATCATATGAACAAGATTTGTAGTTATATAACAAAATCTAAACCAACCTAGAAAATTTTGTACAGTAAATATCCTCTCCCTCAGGGGAGAAAATTTTAAAGGGCTCAGGGGGAAAATATAGAAACAGAAGAAGAGAAAGGGATTAGAAGCAAGGCTGGAGAACAAAGGAAGATTATACAAGCTTTGAGAACTGGTGAAGAAGACAGGAGGGAAAGAAGGAAAGAAGAAACAGAAACAAGAATAGAACAAAACAACAACAACAAAACTAGAAACAATGTTCACCCTCATATAGAAACAAGAACAATCAAGAAAAAGAGGGGAAGTAGAAAAAAAATTTTTTTAATTTTTAAAGCAAAGAGAAGCAGGAAAAAAATGTTCACTTCAAGACATGTCTCTGCTGTCATTGGTAGACAGAGAGGGCAGACAACACCCAGATCTGTGTTGATTGATCTCAACAAGTCAGCAGTAGAATTATAGTAGTGGTGGATAATCCCAGGAAATTTAGGCCTTTGGTTCCACTGAAGTTCAAGTTGCTTCTGGTTTCTGGCTATGAGGCTTGGACCTGAGTTTTTCAATCTACAATACCCCAAGTGCCTCCTGCCAGTTTGAACTCAGCTCCCTGACCTCCTGCTGGCTTGAACTTGGTTCTACCTCACCCTGACACTTGGAGCCACTAGATGGAGCCAGCCTGAAGCTGCTCTGAGTTCTGACTTTAGTTGGTCCTTTTCCAAATGATTACTAGCCAATCACCCTCTTGTGAGGGGCATCTCAACCTGAATAAGTTGCTAGCCACTGCAGTCTGCTGCATCCACTGGTTTATTTCTCTGTGGAGGCCTCTGGGGTCACCAGTAGTCACCATACCTCTGCAAGTTCAAGCTGCTCCTCTCATACTGTAAGCTAGGGTTCAGGGAGAAAGTGCTGTTTGCCACCTCCCTCTTCTGCATTGTAGACCCTCTCTTCACTCTCCTTGTCGGTCCTAATTCTCGCTTCAGATCCTTGCTGGGTCCTGGGGACCCACTTCCCTTCTCCTTCTCTTCCTCATGTTGCTGTAATTACAGCATCTGGATTCCAAATATCAGAGAGGCTGTTTCTTTGCTGCTCACCATTCCACCATCTTCCCAGAAGTCCTGTGACATTCAATTATGGGCATTGTTAAAGAGGCACAAAGGAGAATGATTCAGAAGTAGCAGGAGGAATGAAAAAGAAATGTACCCCACCTCCAGGCCCCACTGCACAATGTTGGGGAGAAAGCACCACCACCAGAACCAGAAGATGCCTGCCCCTAGGACTGTCCTATGGGGAATGTCCTGGGGCACACCAGGGTCTTCATTAGAGTGAGACAACCAGAGCCAAGGCAGAGAAGACAGAATTATGCTGTAATGGACAGTGAGTTCCACTCAGCCTGCTTCAGTCCATGATGACCTGACTCCTCTATTGTAGGCCTCTGGTGAGGCAGAAGCACCAAGATGAATTGGCATAGCAAAGGAAAGCCAAAGAAAGACTGACCCCTAAGAAGCCAGGAAGGAAAGCAAGCCTGAGAAAAGTCATACCCTTCCATATAAACCCCTCCCCCAGGGACCTACTTCTTCCAACTATGCCTCACTTCCCAGTAGCCCATCCAGATAAGAACTCATCAATGGGTTGATTGATTAATGAGGTTAGAGCCCTCAAAAATCCATCATCTCTGAAGTCATCTGTCTCTTAATTCAATCAGCTTGAAAACCAGGATTAAACCTTCGAATGTCAATCAAATCTAACATCATTTTTAATCACTGCATAATATCCCATTCTAGAAATATACCATAACACATTTCCTATGAAAGGACATTTATATTTTTCTGCATTGTACACATGTCATTTTATATATTAATTCTATTATTCCTTTATAATTAATTCCAAGAAATTGCTGGCCATATAATATGTACACTCTCCAGGTTTGATGTAGCTTAACAAATTATCCTCCAAAGGGAACATACAGTTAATATATATATTCTCCTTTAGCACAGAGACTGGGACATCTGAGGGATACAAGGAGCTCTGTACAAGAGAAACGCTTACTAAGATGCCAATATTTATTGAATGTCTATTGTCTGCAGAACACTGTGCCAGGTGCTGGTGAGAGAGATGAACAAGACTCCTATACTTGTTCTTATTCTTCCTTCCCCACTGTGGCAAATGACACTTAGCTCTGTACAAGAATTCACATCATAACAGTGCCATGAAAATGACACCAAGAAGCAGTCAGGCGACAGTGAAGTCGCATGTCAGTACTGATGGTGCTACTGTCACTCTCTGGGATGTTTCTCTGCTTTCCCTAAGGCAGACAGCCGAAGAGCCTGAGACTTGATTTCCCACAGTCCCTTGTAGCACAATTCGGTTCTGGCAGACTGGAGGGCAACAAGGGGCAGAAGCCACTGGGCCCCATGACAACACAGGTAAAAGTACACAGGCATGTAGGCTTCCACAAGGGCGGCGGCAGCAGACAGGCTAGCACTGGCGGAGCCACCCAGAGGGACATAGGGGACACTGGTGCAGCCACAAGGGGCTTGCTGCTCACTTGAGTCTGTCAGCCCCCTCTTCTTACTCTAGCTATTCCATTGCAGGTTAAGTAAAGGTTTAAGCAGGTTAAGACGCTCTCTTCTCTGAGTTGTTCCCTTCTTTCATTCTCTTTGCCAGTATTTTCTTCCCAGGATAGCATTATTTCTTGTGGCTGTGATGTTGTACAGAGAGGGAGGAGAAAAGAAATTAAATGCCCAGATGAACACCTCCCTAGAAGTCTCCCAGGGTTCCTTGGTGTGTGGCACCACCCTAACTTCCCCAACTATGTGGTGACTTTGAGGGCTTCCCCAGGAAATGCCCCTGTTTTCAAGCAAGGTGTGTGATCCGACATGCTGACTGTGGCTTTTGTGATTGGAATGTAGACTCTTCCTCCTACAGGATGGTTCCACGGTAGAGCATTCATCTGACAAGAAGAGAGACAGGATTTTGGGCCCCATTCATTTCTTAGGGAAGGCGCTCTTATGCAGTCAACTACTAGACAACAGTACATAGTAGGCCTGATGGAAACAGAGAATCAAAACAGAAGTAATCGGGTATTTTAAGGAATATTTCCATTAAAAAATGTGCCATATTGTAACAAGTGAGTGACTGTCATACAATGCCTTTCACACCTTCCAATGTGTGTGGAATACATTAAAAAATAAGTCAAAGTTTCTTTTAATAGTGCATTTGTAAAATAAACTCTCAACAGCATTTTTCGCTCTTGACAGTCTGAATAAGTATTTTTTTTAATGTAACCATTCTTGAAAATGTTTTAAGGTTGTCCTAAAAACATATGCTTTGGCAGACCATATTTCTCTCCAAGACAAAGTTAGAGCAACTTGATTTATACTGGGGAGGCTGAAGAGAATATAATTAGAAAACTTGAGTTTGGGGCCCTATAGGCTCAAATCTTCCAGTTCTGCAAAACCAAAAGGTGCCCCACCCCAGCCCCTTGTCCTAAATGACAGGACACAGATAGGTCTAGTAGATATGCCCAAGGTGACCCTGTCACCTAGGCCTGGCTGTCTCCCTCCCTGGGCCCTGCCAGCAAGGCCAAGGCTGGGGTCACAGTTCCTTCACTTGCCCAGTTTCCTCCTTTGGGCCTTGGCTGGAAGGGCAGTTTCTGGATCAGGAAAAAAAAAAAAACTCAATCCTAAAATATTACTAATTTGAAAACCATCCACCAGATTTTCCCTGAACATCTGTGGGGCCTTAGTTAAGAGCAGCGATGAAGGCCAACAAACCCTATGTCCAGCTATTTAGAAGTCATGAATCAGAGTTCACAGACTGTGGAATGAAAACATGACCTGTTTTGCCTGATCCATACATCTTCTCCGCAACCTGGAAAGTCAGGGCAGGAAGCTGGCTGCACAGGGAGTACCAACCCTGCCAACAGCGCCCGCCCCTCCTTTTCCACAGCCAGCTCTGCATAGGGATTCCTCAGACCAGTAGGGGGCAGTGCAGCTCACCCTGCCAAATCCGTCCATGTCACTCAAACTGCTGTCCTCCCCACGGAGAAGTCCCAGGGGGTGCTCTGGAGATCAGACAGGGACCCCACATCTAGCTGGGAGATGGCTCAGTGCCTGTGATGTCATTTATGTCAGCTTGACGGGCCACAAGGTGCCCACATGAAGCATCCTTCTGGGTGTTTCTGACAGTATGTTTCTAGAGATTAGCTTTGGAGTTGGTGGACTCACTAAAGTCAACCCCTCTCCCCAAAACCCTCGTCCACAGAACCAAAAGCAGAGGAAGGAAGAAGGCAGCCCTTTGTGCTTCCTGCCTACCTGCTTCTGCAGAGGCCTCTCACCTTTTCTCCTCTGGTCCCAATGGCATTTATACCATCAGCTCCCCTGGTTCCCAGGCATTTTGCTTTGGACTGAACTTTACCACCAGCTTTCCTGGCTTGCCGCTCACAGACCACAGATCGTGGAATTTATAATCTCCATAATCTCACGGCCACATTCTCAAAATAAGACAATAATTTACTCTCTCTCTTCCCAGCTCAAAATCTAGAAGGCTGCCCTCAGTCCTCTCGCTGGACCCTTCCTCTGAGCTCTCCCTCTCATCGCACTGGATGGGACACAGCCAGAAGGCCAGAACAGGGCTTCAAAACCACAGAGCCCAAGGTAGGAGCCCCCCCGGCCTGGATCTAATTCATAAATTTTTACTCCAGCCTCTGAGTCTAATCTTCTCATAATGGTCTAGAAGCAGCCTGTTAAAAAGTAAATTCCTGGGCCCAAACCCAGACCCATGAATTAGATAGTGTGGACTTCCCAGAGATCTACATTGTTCAACTCTCTTTCCAAATCACTCTTATTCACCCTCAAATTTAAGAACGTCAATGAAACAGCTAGGATTTAGAGGAAAGGGTCCTGCCTTTTTCCCGGAGTCCACGCACTCCATGGCTGCTCCCCATCCAGAGCCACTGTCAGCTGGACAGTCCGTAGGTCCTCTGGAGGCTGAGCCCAGATCCTCAACCGGTGTAAGTTAAACACTGACCACGCATCCTCTACAATTCCAAGAACACAGTGACTTCATCCTGGCAGGCTGCCGTGGGAATGAGTAGGCTACGGCTTCCTGCTATCAGTTACCAGTCCCTGGCAGCCGGCTTCCTGGAAGCACTGTGGTCTCCTGAGGAACCATCTTTTGGAAAACGCACAGGATGACCCAATAGAAGTGGCTGGCTTTTTAAATTATTAAACTGTGGTGCTATTTAATTCCTGTTGCTCTTCCCTTTCACCTATCATTGAGCAGTGAGCACTCTGTTTATACCACCTTTCAGGTAGAACAAAAGTCATGAATGAGAACTCCAGTAGTCTAACGGGATATGGCTCTCTGTTGTAAGCAGCAGGAATGGAGAGAAGATGGCTCCTCTCTTTTGCCCCCACCTTTTTTTAATCCAGAGGCTTAACTTTAAATATCAAGATCCAAACCCCAAGGATCAAAAGAAACTGATAGCATAAACCAACGTCTTAGTCAGGGTTTTCCAAAGGAAAAGAACCAACAGGATACTCTGTCATCATCGACTATTAAAATTCAAAAGATGTGATAAATTAAATCAATGGTCTTCAATTTTTTCTCTCATACTTCCTAAAAGAACTTAGAAAATGTATGAACCCCAGCACAATTCAATTAGACTCCTAAAAGTTTCTGTTATAAATTTGAATAGCTACAAAATATATACTTTCTAGCATATTATAAATATTAATTTTTTAAAATCACATTTTATATCCAATGTATTACTGGGATTCTGAGGGTCTGTGGGCTCCTAGTGATTCTTTCCAGGTTCTTGTTGTCCTGAACAAAGAACTGGGCGAGATAAAAGGTAGGACAAGAAGTACAACCTATAGAGTGAGGATCAATTTTATAGATCACACTATAAAAGAGAAAGCACAGTGACCAGGGCCATCCCTTCTATCTCCCATTCCTCAGGCTGACATCAGATCTCAGCCATCCTATCAAAAGCCTGCTTGCTTTCCAGTCAGAAGGAATGAAGGAAACACTTTCTGGTTAGTACCAGAATCAGGGCTTGGAAAGTATATTCTGCTCACATGCCCTGGTTCTCCGCGATTGACAGGTTGCTCCCACTTGCTCAGTAGCTGCCACACACTAATCTCCTGCCTCAAATGGACCCTAAATCCTAAGGCAGCGTCACTCACGCTCACTTAAAAATCACAACAAACTCATTTGTGAAAACTGGAAATTTTGTATCATTGTTTTGAACTTTAAAGTTTTCCAGATTGAATTATCTTTCTGTTGATTTGTATGTACACACCTAAAGAAATATATAGCATATTTGATAAATCTAAAACATACCAAGTAAGGCTATGTAATTGGACAATTAAGCTAAATGAATTGGTGGACCTTTTTAAATTAGTCCATGTATCTGTGGCTGCTGTTATCAAAATGGAACAGGAATGGGCATCAACTCTATTTCTGTTTTTCATTTTTATAGATATTAGCCCTAAGCACCCTTGTTTAATTAAATAAGTAATAAGTATGTTAGGCATTTTCTTAGAGAAAAGTTCTCCTGTTACTTGAATGCACTCTTAGTTATAAATCAGAAAGTACACAATAAATTATTATTAAAACCCTACTTTAACTGCCTGTTAATAACTTGGTTAGGTCCCCTTGTGAATTTTATTGAAAGCAAAGGAAATGAAAATCATCTAATTTATGGCAGGGACAAAAAATATTGTTAGCTAGTAACTAGGGTCCCTCGTTTTCTTTGTTTCTAGGAAATATGACTAAATAAGATTCAACCAAGATTTTTCATTGACTTTTTTTTTTTTTTTGTACTCAGGACCTTGTGCTTACAAGGCAGGTGGTGGCACCACTGAGCTAAACCCCCAACCTTATCCTTGACTATTGTTCATTCTGTTACTCTTTTACTTATAGGCATCATGCTTGTGGAGCTAAAATACATTAACTGAGATTAAACACAAAACATAAAATTATAACTCAGCATAATGCCAAATTTAAAAATTTCATTTTTAAAGGGCACCTCAAAATGCGTATAAAGGCTAACAAAAGGACAGATCCAGGTACTTCAAGATATGTGCAGAGATAGATGATAGATAGATAGATAGATAGATAGATAGATAGATAGATAGATTTAGACCCATGGATGATTGAAGACAATTACATTTATGTAATTATCCATTTGCTAGACTTAAATGAGTATATTAACATCTAAAAGAAAGAGATTAACTCTGATTCAATCAAACCAGTTTTCTATTATTCTGCTCGATGCATAGTAAATTTGCAATTTGTGAGAAATTTTAATTTGTTCTTGACCCTAGATAGACACTGTACTGTTAACAGTATAAGTACTTTATATAAATTGACAGCAGGAGAAAGAATTTGGTCACTAATTAGCATAGGCTTATGAAAAGCACATGAAGGATCATTAGACACATAATTTGGAGTATAATTTGCAACATATTCCTGTTAAGTTACTGAAACTTAACGCTGTGGACAGAATCGTGTCTCCCCATAATTCATTTTTTGAAGCACAATGTAGTAATATAGTAACCCAATGTTACTATATTTGGGAAAAGGGCCCATAAGGTGACAAAGGTTAATGAGATCATGAAGGTGGGGCCCTAATATTCCTTTCTAAAAAGAGGACGAAGACTAAATGTAGTGCATAGCACTGCCAAGAAAAAGAGACCAGAGTCTGTCTGTCTGTGTCTGTGCCTCTGTGCCCTCCTCTCTCTCTCTCTCTCCCCCTGATACAGTGCAAAGGCAACCATCTGTCAGCCAAAACAAGTCCTCACCAGAACCCAACTCTGCCAGCATCCTGATCTTGGCCTTCCAACCTCCAGAGCTGCAAGAAAATATGAAAAACTATAATAGTACATAAAATCCTAATGAGATAGTTGACAATGTGAAATAGGATGAAAAGGGCTAAAGATGTAGGGAAAGTGGGAAGGGTAGGGGGAAAGGTAATAAGGGGAAAGAAAAAAATATGAGAAAATGAAAAAATAGAAATAAAGTGTTTGTAAATGGGGAGGGGAGGAGGAGGTGAAGGGAGGGCAGGAACAAGGGGAAAAAATGAGAACCAAGACCTGTCATGTAAAGGTACAAGATCCCAATAATGAACGCAACCGTACTGTATACCTAAAATGTACCAATAAACTCAATGAGGAAAAAAGGAAAAGAAAAGAAAATAAATGTTTTAGTTTAAACATCCCAGCCCATGGTATTCTGTTACAGCCACCCCAGCTGACTAATCCACGGACATGACAGCATAGATTCACCTGATCTGGGTGAATTTTCAAGATGAATGAAGAGACAATATATTTTGGATATTGACTCTGCATCTGGTTACCTCTTGAAATTATCTTCATGTATTTCAAATTTTAATTAAATATTCCCAGTTACTACTAATTACCATAGCAAAGTACTAGGGACTTATCTTAAGCTAAGTATGATATTAGGTTCTTAGTAAATTTAATTGTATTTCTCATGTAAGTAGAAAAGTGGCTGATGAATGACAGTGAGTGGAGATCTGCAGCTTCATAAAAATGAATATAGATATCATACTTTATTGTTAGCAAAATTAATGTATTTCTCCTATGAATTTGAATACACATTTAAGAAAGTATAAAATTTTAACCTACCTTAACGTGTTTCTTTTATTAGAAAATGCAGCATTGTTATGCTAGAAGAAATTGTAGGTCTATTCACATTCAAATCATGCAAATTATACTACTGAGACAGAATAAAATTCAGACAAATGAGAGCATTCACTGAGCTGTTCTCACTACCGAGATGGTGCAACTGTAGAGAAACTGAGATTCATAGCTGCCTGGCATTTTCCAGCATGCTTCTCACAAATCTTGGGTTGTTCGAGATAGACAGATAGCTAAAGCACTGAGGCCACACGTGAGTTTGTCACCTGGATGAATAACAGGCTGCCATCTTCATGATTTCTAAGATGCACTTGCTTTTTTGCCTGTTTTATTACCTTCTTTGCAAGTAGTGAAGATACACGATCCCACACTTCGGTTCGCCACCTTGATTAAAGGAGGTTTCCTCTCAATTACCTATCACTTGAGTTCTCTCTGCTTAGTGTCCCAGGGGTTTCTGTCCCACACAAAGGACCCCAGTAGGAGCTGGGTGGGATGCAAGCTGTATCACTGTATTGTAAGGCAGATGAAGGGGGGCTGCAAAAGGGAAGGTGGAGAAGGAGCAGCAGCCTGCTGGAGATACTTCTTCAAGAGGAATGGAGAGAGAATATACTTGGATACGGACTCTGTGTCTGGATACCTCTTCAAATGTATCCCCAGTTTTAGTTAAATATCCTGACCATTACTAATGATCACCATGCAAAGTACTAGGGGCCTACTTTAAAATAAGTAATATCAGTAGGTTCTTAATAAATGTATCTGCTTATTTAAATTGTATTCCTCATGTGATGGCTATTAACAAACCATTTTATACACAAAACTGGGACTTAAAAGTGATAAGTAATTTGCCCCAGATCCCACAGCTGGTAAGTGCCAAAGCTAAATTCAGTCCTACCCATCTGACATGAGATTCTGTGCTCATGTATACATTCTTGAAAATCAATTGGCTCCTTCCCTGAGAATTAGTATTTCCAAAGTCACAATTCTGCAATGGTGGATTTTCAGGATTACACGGCAGACCCCAGAAACGCCCTTGGTAGTCCTTTCTCAAATCTGAAAAGATATATTTTCTTTCTCTTCTCCTGATACATATATCATTCTATCTCTTAATCTTGAGGTTACTGAAGAGAAATCAGATATGAATAGCACAGTTTGAAATAGTATTCTGAGGTCTCTATTTTGTCCACTGTTAAAAAATCATCATGTTTTCAGGCTCAGTCTTTGTAGCCACTGAATTTTGCCCTAAAATGTACCCCCAAAGATTATTTAACCCTCAATTTTTGATTTGTGCCTATAAATGCACATTCTAAAATTACTTTAGTCATTAATCACATAGTTAAAAATTGAAGGTAATGATAATCATGGTACCCACAATGGCATTCCCCTAAACCAATCCTCTATTATGTTCCTCAAAAAGAGACATATTTATTATACTTTAAGAAAACATTCTCTTCAACCTATTTTACATGTATACACAAAATTTTCAGGGGAACCAGCAGTAAAATGACTCTACACTCCTATCATGGAGCCTGAACTAATATTTATCTATTTTTTTAAGGCAAATAAAACTTGTCGCCTTGGGCAGTGTTCAGTTCAATAGAATCCTGGACAGTAATGGGACTGGGGGTGGTTAGGCATACAGACATCTGAAAAGCAGCAAGGGCACAGGGTGAAGAAACAAGGTCAGTTTCCGATAGTACAGAGTTAGGAAGGGAGAGTGAGCCTTGTGAGAAGGACTAGAAGCAGCATCCAGCAGGTACCAAGACAAAGGAGCACCTCTGAGACCAGCCATTGCGTTGCTGAGACACAGTAAGGTGGGAAGAGTAATAGAAATAGCTAAGGAGCTTTATGACACAGGTGAGTACAAGAGCAAGATTAGCTATGCTAGTGCTTAGGGATATATTCCATTTAAAAAGTAGATGAGGGCTGGGGATTTAGCTCTGTGGTTCCACTGCCTCCTCACAAGGGTAAGGTCCCAAGTTCAATCCTCAGTACCAATAAATAAATAGTAGATGAAAATACATGTACATTTAATATATTTGGAAAATCTACATATAAAATTATTTGGAATACTGCCTTGCTAAAGAACTTCATATAAATTTGTTCTTCAAAACAGCCCAAGGAGTGTATGGGAAAGGCACTACTCTCATTATGTGCCAGAAAAGAAAACTCCAGCCCGGTGGGAATGGTGACCTCGCCGGTGTCTCCCAGCTAGTCCTGGGCAGAGCAGTGACTAGGCAGGCTCCAGTCAAGGGAGTCCCACCTCCCTCTAGCAGCAGAGCTCTCCTGCTTCCTATGTCTTTTCTCTAATGTGTACTATAACAGCTCCTTTCCATCGCATCTGGGCACCCCCTTCCCCACCACCCAACTCTCCTACGTGTACTTGTCCATCAAGTCCTCCCTGTCAGCAAAGGCGCTCAGTGAGAAGTATCTGCGCTTCTCTACCTTCCGCTGGTAGGACTGAAGACTGGAACCTCAAGGACTCTCAGAGGTCCAAGGTTTACATGACCCTCGTAACTATGGTTTCCATCGATATCCTGTTTTTCTATGGTCTGTATTATTTTCTTACACAGAAATAGACCATTTTCTAATAGCTGAGCATCTAAAATGCTGCTTTGTGAAATCTCAATAGGAACGTGAAAAAATGCTTTTGTGTGTCTATACAGTCCTAAACAATGGACTCTTGTTTTCACTGAATGGATTTAAATGCCTAGTTAGTTTAATCTTATGTGGATGTGTTATTTTGATTCTGTATAAGCCATTTCTGGATGAAGACATTCATAAGAATATCAAAAGAATGAGACAAAAATTGAGCAGCTTTTTCCATCACAAGATTTTCAATTCAAGTCCATCTTCAGCACTTCTTTGTCTATACAAGGATTTTTTTTCACTTGAATCCCTACTTAGTCATTTCTCACTTGTAAATGCCCAATTTTTGAGCCTGCCAGGTTTTAATAACAGTCACAGTCATATTATCCTGAGGGTTCTGCTTGTATTGTGTCATCAAACTCTCTTGATCCTGCACGGCAATACTCTCATAAATCCCATTTTACCAGCTGCAGAAACTGAGTCAGACAGAGGTTATAGGACATCCCCACCCTGTCTTTCAGGCATTTGAAGCTAAGTACTCCAGGGTCCACTTTCTCAACCACCACATCAAATGCTCCCAAAAAATAATCAATTGGAATTCATCAATAGTTAAGACTGCCATCCTATTGGGAGGATACAACCACAAAGTATAGGCTGGGAAAAATATTTACAAATCACATTATCTGATAAAGTACATATCTACAGCATAGTGAGAACTCTCAAAACTCAAGTGTAGAATAGAGCAATTCAATCCAAATGGAAAATGCACAAAGACGTGAATAAACAGGTTACCAAAGAGGATATACAGATAGAAAGTATGCACATGAAATGAGGTTCAACATTATCCCCATTATACATACTTGAAGGTGAAATTACAGAGATAGGAATCAGGTTATTGGTTGTCATGGGTTAGGACTGGGAGAGGAGTGGACTGGCTATGAATACATAGCAAGGTGCAGCCTTCTGGGAGAACAGTTCTGTATCTTGACTGCAGTGTTGGTTACATGAACTACACATGAAATAAAGTTGCACAGAACTTTAGCCTACTGCAGTCGAAAGTCCCTGTTCGGGTGCCAACTGCAGTCAACCCATGGGGAGCCCGCCCGCTCTTTGGAGCTTTCCCCACCCGGGCACCATGTGTGGGGGACCTAAAGCCACTACTTTGCTCTCCCTGCCCCAGACACAAACAAGAATGAACGACCAAGAGACACAGAGTTAATTTAACACGCGGACAGCCAGGGAGCTCCTGCCTCTAATAGGCAGAGGAGCCCTCAGCTTCTGGCTCCTTTTGCCTTTATTCACCCCAACACGGGCACAAGCATTTAGAGTAACACCAGATTCACCTGCTTTCCAATACCCATCAGCACTTGCACAGGTAAACAACTTCACCTCAGCTGGTTTAACTTTGCCCTAGAACCCGCAACAGGCAATCTCCCCTGAGTGAGCAGCCTTTCTCCTCTGTGTTCCCAGAGGAGGTCAATGAGACCTCAGTTCTCCTCCGGTCTCCCACACAGGACTAAATTTACACATGCACACAGGCACAGGCAGGGATGGCACTGATGAAGTCTGAATGAACTCTGAATTAGACCAATGTCAGTTTCTGTCCTGGCCTTGATACTGAGCTACAATCATAAAAGGTGTTACCAC